ACTACTCCAGCTGTGGGTTTAGCGATTAGTTATGCTTACAATACTACTACTGGCATACAAGTAACGCTATGTGACTTCCGGGTTTAGCGCTTAAATGGATTATTATAATCTTAAGTCCACACATCCCTTATCAGTGCAGGTAAGTGCCTTGATGTTAGTGAGGTGTTTTTGATCCAAGGAGCTGGACTTACGCTTCCATTAGGTCGAACCTGAATGCCTGCACAGGTGCTGTATGATCCCCCTTCCCTACGGGTTTAGCGCCTCTACTACCTGTGTCACGTCGATCACACTCCACAACCACTTCCAGTATACTGCTCTCTTCGTTGTATGACCCTTGTGGGTTTAGTGCTTAGTTTTTTATTATAATCCACTGCTCTGTTACCAGACAACAAGGACCCATGTGGGTTTAGCGCTTAGTTATGATTGTAATAATCATAATACTAGTATGTAACTGTATTTGTGTATACATGAATAAACTTACTTAGTCAACAATAAAGTAAGATTTACAAACTGCTTATCAAAGGAGCAAGGGGCTGTATGACCCTTGTAGGTTTAGCGCTTCTTTTTTTATTACAATAATCAGTATAAAGGAAAGATGGAGAACTGCAGGTGTTGCTTCATGATGTTCCACTCGGATGAATCTGAAGCGCAGCTGGATCTTTTGATCATCTGACTGAGGCCTCCCAGCACACATAAGGGGGATTACCAACAGACCCCTGGCAGTCTTCAAGCTGGCACTGGACAAGCACCTAAAGTCAGTTCCTGATCAGCCGGGCTGTGGCTCGTACGTTGGTTTGCGTGCAGCCAGCAGCAACAGCCTGGTTGATCAGGCGCTGATCCACCAGGAGGCCTGGTCACAGACCGGGCCGCGGGGGCGTTGACCCCCGAAACTCTCTCCAGGTAAACTCCAGGTTCCACTGGCTTATCCCTCCACCCCTTTAAAAATTATGGTTATAATTCTAAACGTTTTTGATTACACAGGCGCTGTATGATCCACAAGAATTTAGTGCAAAGGGAATATAATAAAAATAATAGTGCTATCTTATCCCTAATAGCTATTAAAGGACTTGGGCTTTTCCTACAAGTGTGTGGTCGTATTTGGTCATTATTATGCGCAGAGGTCTTTGTGGCATTTATGGATTTGGAAAAGGCGTATGACAGGGTGGATAGGGGGGCAATGTGGCAGATGTTGCAGGTGTATGGTGTAGGAGGTAGGTTACTGAAAGCAGTGAAGAGTTTTTACGAGGATAGTGAGGCTCAAGTTAGAGTATGTAGGAAAGAGGGAAATTATTTCCCAGTAAAAGTAGGCCTTAGACAAGGATGTGTAATGTCCCCGTGGTTGTTTAATATATTTATAGATGGGGTTGTAAGAGAAGTAAATGCGAGGGTCTTGGCAAGAGGCGTGGAGTTAAAAGATAAAGAATCACACACAAAGTGGGAGTTGTCACAGCTGCTCTTTGCTGATGACACTGTGCTCTTGGGAGATTCTGAAGAGAAGTTGCAGAGATTGGTGGATGAATTTGGTTAGGGTGTGCAAAAGAAGAAAATTAAAGGTGAATACAGGAAAGGTAAGGTTATGAGGATAACAAAAAGATTAGGTGATGAAAGATTGAATATCAGATTGGAGGGAGAGAGTATGGAGGAGGTGAACATATTCAGATATTTGGGAGTGGACGTGTCAGCGGATGGGTCTATGAAAGATGAGGTGAATCATAGAATTGATGAGGGGAAAAGAGTGAGTGGTGCACTTAGGAGTCTGTGGAGACAAAGAACTTTGTCCTTGGAGGCAAAGAGGGGAATGTATGAGAGTATAGTTTTACCAACGCTCTTATATGGGTGCGAAGCGTGGGTGATGAATGTTGCAGCGAGGAGAAGGCTGGAGGCAGTGGAGATGTCATGTCTGAGGGCAATGTGTGGTGTGAATATAATGCAGAGAATTCGTAGTTTGGAAGTTAGGAGGAGGTGCGGGATTACCAAAACTGTTGTCCACAGGGCTGAGGAAGGGTTGTTGAGGTGGTTCGGACATGTAGAGAGAATGGAGCGAAACAGAATGACTTCAAGAGTGTATCAGTCTGTAGTGGAAGGAAGGCGGGGTAGGGGTCGGCCAGGAAAGGTTGGAGGGAGGGGGTAAAGGAGGTTTTGTGTGCGAGGGGCTTGGACTTCCAGCAGGCATGCGTGAGCGTGTTTGATAGGAGTGAATGGAGACAAATGGTTTTTAATACTTGACGTGCTGTTGGAGTGTGAGCAAAGTAACATTTATGAAGGGGTTCAGGGAAACCGGCAGGCCGGACTTGAGTCCTGGAGATGGGAAGTACAGTGCCTGCACTCTGAAGGAGGGGTGTTAATGTTGCAGTTTAAAAACTGTAGTGTAAAACACCCTTCTGGCAAGACAGTGATGGAGTGAATGATGGTGAGAGTTTTTCTTTTTCGGGCCACCCTGCCTTGGTGGGAATCGGCCAGTGTGATAATAAAATAATAAAATATGATTGATTTAACCTGTTGACTTTTAGGGACCATTACAAGCTTCAGACTGCGCGGCTGACTGGTCACTTTAATTATTTTCAAGGTTAGTGTCTTCTCCCAGGCACCCAGGAAGGAGCACCCAGCCTCAGTGCCTGTGTTCCTCCCCCAGACACCCAGGAAGGAGCACCCAGCGTCAGTGCCTGTGTTCCTCCCCCAGACACCCAGGAAGGAGCACCCACTGTCACTATAACAAGTTGCTTTCCCCCGCAAGACCCCACATGTGACTTGTGATAACACTGAAGGTCTTTGGTAAGAGGCTTTGGTTGATGAGCAGATAAGAGCTACAACGGTAGATATGAAGCAGAGGAACCTCAGTGCTCTGGTGAAGGGGTGGTAGGTGTAGTGTGGCTTTTACCTGAGAAGCCAGACCAGTGTGTAGCTCTTACCTGGCACGTAGTGAGGAGCCAGACCTGTGTGTGGCTCTTACCTGGCACGTAGTGAGGAGCCAGACCTGTGTGTGGCTCTTACCTGGCACGTAGTGAGGAGCCAGACCTGTGTGTGGCTCTTACCTGGCACGTAGTGAAGAGCCAGACCTGTGTGTGGCTCTTACCTGGCACGTAGTGACGAGCCAGACCTGTGTGTGGCTCTTACCTGGCACGTAGTGAGGAGCCAGACCTGTGTGTGGCTCTTACCTGGCACGTAGTGAGGAGCCAGACCTGTGTGTGGCTCTTACCTGGCACGTAGTGAGGAGCCAGACCTGTTGTGGCTCTTACCTGGCACGTAGTGAAGAGCCAGACCTGTGTGTGGCTCTTACCTGGCACGTAGTGAGGAACCAGACCTGTGTGTGGCTCTTAACTGGCACGTAGTGAGGAGCCAGACCTGTGTGTGGCTCTTACCTGGCACGTAGTGAGGAGCCAGACCTGTGTGTGGCTCTTACCTGGCACGTAGTGAGGAGCCAGACCTGTGTGTGGCTCTTACCTGGCACGTAGTGAGGAGCCAGACCTGTGTGTGGCTCTTACCGGCACGTAGTGAAGAGCCAGACCTGTGTGTGGCTCTTACCTGGCACGTAGTGAGGAGCCAGACCAGTGTGTAGCTCTTACCTGGCACGTAGTGAGGAGCCAGACCTGTGTGTGGCTCTTACCTGGCACGTAGTGAGGAGCCAGACCTGTGTGTGGCTCTTACCTGGCACGTAGTGAAGAGCCAGACCTGTGTGTGGCTCTTACCTGGCACTTAGTGAGGAGCCAGACCAGTGTGTAGCTCTTACCTGGCACGTAGTGAGGAGCCAGACCTGTGTGTGGCTCTTACCTGGCACGTAATGAGGAGCCAGACCTGTGTGTGGCTCTTACCTGGCACGTACTGAAGAGCCAGACCTGTGTGTGGCTCTTACCTGGCACGTAGTGAGGAGCCAGACCAGTGTGTAGCTCTTACCTGGCACGTAGTGAGGAGCCAGACCTGTGTGTGGCTCTTACCTGGCAACGTAGTGAGGAGCCAGACCTGTGTGTGGCTCTTACCTGGCACGTAGTGAAGAGCCAGACCTGTGTGTGGCTCTTACCTGGCACGTAGTGAGGAGCCAGACCAGTGTGTAGCTCTTACCTGGCACGTAGTGAGGAGCCAGACCTGTGTGTGGCTCTTACCTGGCACGTAGTGAGGAGCCAGACCTGTGTGTGGCTCTTACCTGGCACGTAGTGAAGAGCCAGACCTGTGTGTGGCTCTTACCTGGCACGTAGTGAGGAGCCAGACCAGTGTGTTTGCTCTTACCTGGCACGTAGTGAGGAGCCAGACCTGTGTGTGGCTCTTACCTGGCACGTAGTGAGGAGCCAGACCTGTGTGTGGCTCTTACCTGGCACGTAATGAGGAGCCAGACCTGTGTGTGGCTCTTACCTGGCACGTAGTGAGGAGCCAGACCTGTGTGTGGCTTTTTACCTGGCACGTAGTGAGGAGCCAGACCTGTGTGTGGCTCTTACCTGGCACGTAGTGAGGAGCCAGACCTGTGTGTGGCTCTTACCTGGCACGTAGTGAGGAGCCAGACCTGTGTGTGGCTCTTACCTGCACGTAGTGAGGAGCCAGACCTGTGTGTGGCTCTTACCTGGCACGTAGTGAGGAGCCAGACCTGTGTGTGGCTCTTACCTGGCACGTAGTGAAGAGCCAGACCTGTGTGTGGCTCTTACCTGGCACGTAGTGAGGAGCCAGACCTGTGTGTGGCTCTTACCTGGCACGTAGTGAGGAGCCAGACCTGTGTGTGGCTCTTACCTGGCACGTAGTGAGGAGCCAGACCTGTGTGTGGCTCTTACCTGGCACGTAGTGAGAGCCAGACCTGTGTGTGGCTCTTACCTGGCACGTAATGAGGAGCCAGACCTGTGTGTGGCTCTTACCTGGCACGTAGTGAGGAGCCAGACCTGTGTGTGGCTCTTACCTGGCACGTAGTGGAGGAGCCAGACCTGTGTGTGGCTCTTACTGGCACGTAGTGAGGAGCCAGGGCCTGTGTGTGGCTCTTACCTGGCACGTAATGAGGAGCCAGACCTGTGTGTGGCTCTTACCTGGCACGTAGTGAGGAGCCAGACCTGTGTGTGGCTCTTACCTGGCACGTAGTGAGGAGCCAGACGTAAGACGGTGTGAGAAGAAAATTTGCCAGTTTTATACACGAGAACTGCGCAGCACTTACCGTACGATAACTCGAGAACGCGTCTTCTCATCGGATTCAAACCTTCACCGCTAATACATCATATTTAGAGGGACGTTTGGATTAATTAAAAACTGGGTAGGTACCAATTTTATTTTACAAATCGTGCGGTACTATATTTTCCACGCGACAACTAGAGAATGCTTCTCTTGATTGGTTTCAAACCTTCAACGCGCGAAAAGCCCTTGATTGGATGTGTCCTAATGCCGTTGAAAGGCTTTTGCTCCATGGAATCGGTGCTATCATCCACTTCCCTGGATCAAACGTGAATACTCCCATTCCCGAGATACTGGGTGATCCGTATGGGTTTAGCGCTCCCGTACGAAAAACAACCACACTTGCGAGGACTGAGGTAGAGTGGGCTGGGGTTACTGGATACGAGGGATGCCTCTAGTTTGCCAGCCAACCAAGGGTGTCCCACTAAACCCGAAGGGGCTTCTTCATTATAATAATTATAATAATTATTATTTATTTTTTTTTTATTTATTTATAATTTGAGCACACATACAGAGGTACAAAAAAATACAGATAAGAGCAGTATGCCAAAGCCACTTATACTATGCATAGCATTACGGGCTGGCTTAAAATTAACTTAAGATTAACTAAGCAATGATGAAATCAGTGATAAAACATTAATGTAAACTGATTACTATAAAGCACAAGTGAGTATTACAAAGACAGGTCATATGGTTGCTTGCATTGTTGTAAATTCAGTAGAATGGAGTATTCTGTTAGCTCGTGGGAGGAGAGAGATGATGTCTTATGATAAAAGATATAATATCAGGGATGACAAATATGTCTCAGCAGATATCAGTTCACGGGAAGAGCTGAACCCGTAAGGGTTACGCAGTCTCGGCGAAGGGAAGGGTGGAACGGGAGGCAATCATGTTTGATCCGAGGAAGCTGCATTTCCTCGGATCAAAGGCTGAGCCTCAATCGTATTAAATACGAAAATTTAGATTTTTTTTCTTTTTTAATGCATTGAGAAAAACATTTTTTTCTAATCCATTTGTTAAAGACGAAGACCAGTTGTTTGTTGGGTTTGAATCCTGTCTGCCGCACAATGATCGTTAAGACTGCAACTGACCTGCTAAGCAACAGTTAGGAATATTTTGGTGTCGAAATTAGAGATAAAAGTATATTCTCAGTTTATTTATACACTAACATGCTGCTCTCAGTGTGGGTGTATACACTGCGACGAGCATATCACTCTTGACGTGTATGTACTGACAACAACACTACGACATATACACTCACATAACTATAGAACAGTGTATATACTTAGAAGACATTTTAATTCCTATTTGAGGAATTAGAATATTCTTCAATGTTGTAACAGATGACATGCAGCATTAATGACGGTGGTGAAGTAGATAGGCTTGACACCCAGTGAATCAGCCAGTGTTGTGAGGATGGTTGGTGAGGTCAGCAGGAGGTAGGTGACAGCAGCAGCAGTCAGTGTGCGGTGCTGCAACACAGTGTGGCCTCCCTACTGCTCTGCGAAGGTATATATATACATAGTATATATATATAATATATATATATATATATATATTATATATATATTATATATATATATATATATATATATATATATATGTCGTGCCGAATACCTGGAGTTTACCTGGAGAGAGTTCCGGGGGTCAACGCCCCCGCGGCCCGGTCTGTGACCAGGCCTCCTGGTGGATCAGAGCCTGATCAACCAGGCTGTTGCTGCTGGCTGCATGCAAACCAACGTACGAGCCACAGCCCGGCTGATCAGGAACTGACTTTAGGTGCTTGTCCAGTGCCAGCTTGAAGACTGCCAGGGGTCTGTTGGTAATCCCCCTTATGTGTGCTGGGAGGCAGTTGAACAGTCTCGGGCCCCTGACACTTATTTGTATGGTCTCTTAACGTGCTAGTGACACCCCTGCTTTTCATTGGTGGGATGGTGCATCGTCTGCCAAGTCTTTTGCTTTCGTAGTGAGTGATTTTCGTGTGCAAGTTCGGTACTAGTCCCTCTAGGATTTTCCAGGTGTATATAATCATGTATCTCTCCCTCCTGCGTTCCAGGGAATACAGGTTTAGGAACCTCAAGCGCTCCCAGTAATTGAGGTGTTTTATCTCCGTTATGCGCGCCGTGAAAGTTCTCTGTACATTTTCTAGGTCAGCAATTTCACCTGCCTTGAAAGGTGCTATTAGAGTGCAGCAATATTCCAGCCTAGATAGAACAAGTGACCTGAAGAGTGTCGATCTTGGCTTAAATAGCAACGCTCATCTTGCCATTTAGGACAAGTGAAAATTTGTGTATGCAATAATTTCGCCAAAATCATTCTAAACCTAACGATAAAAATATATTTCAATGTGCTTGTTTAGTATTAAATTATCGTAAACAAATCTAAAATATATTTAGTTGGGTTAGGCTAAAATAAATTGGTCTTGCTATAATAAGGTTAGGTAAGTTTTCTAAGATTCTTTTGGTGCAAAATTAAAAAAAATAACATTAACATTAATGAAAAAAATATATCTTTAAACGTATAAGAGAAATTTTCAGAAAGAACTTAATTTTAAACGGTTCTTGTTTTTAATTTTTTTTGGGACGCTTAATTTTTATTTTTATTTTTTTAATATATATATATTATTAATATATATATATAATTATATATATATATATAATAAAAATAAATTTTTATATAAAAAAATTAAAAATAAAAATTAATTTTACATATTTTAATAAAAATATATTTTAAAATTTTATATAAAATTAATTTTTATTTTTTATTTTTTTAAATATATATATATTATATTATATATATATATTATATAATATATATATATATTTTAAATTTTTATATATTATATAAAAAAAATTTATAAAATTTTTATATAATAATATATTATTAAAAAATTTAAAAATATAATTAATATATTATATATAAATATTATATTTTATTTTTTTATAAATATATATTTTAATTATAATATAATTTTATTTAAATAAAATAATATTATTTAATTATATATATATATAAATATATATATTATATAATATATATATATATTATAATTTTTATTTTAATATATAATATATAATTATATAAATTTTATTATTTTATAAATATATTATATATATAAAAATATTATATTTATATATATATATAATATTAATATAAAATTTATTATATTAATATATTTAATTAATATTTATTAATATATTATATTAAATATTTATATTTTATATATAATATATTTTTTAAATATATTATAATATTTTAAAAATATAAATATATATTTTATATTATATAATTTTTTTTTTTTTTTTTTTATATTTTTTTAAAATATATTTTATATATATAAAATAATATATATATATTTAAAAATATATATTATATATATATTAATATATAAATTTTATATATTATTAAATTTTAAATATTTTTTAAATTAATTATATATTTAAATATTTTTAATATATTTTATAATATATTATTTATATATTATATAAAATTTTAATATATATAATATATAAATATTATTTATTTATATTACATATATTTTTAATATATAATTTATTATATATAAAAATTATATATATATATATTATTTTTAATATTATTATATATAAATTTATTATATATTTATATATAATTAGGTATTTATATATATAAAATATATTATATATATATTAATATAAATAATAATTTTTTTTTTTTTTTTTTTTTTTTTTTATTACACCCCCGGCCGATTCCCCCCCAAGGGCAGGTGGCCCAAAAAAGAAAAACTTTCACCATCTTCACCCACACTGTCTTCCCAAAAGGGGGTGCTTTACATACAGTTTTTAAACGAAAACATTAAACCCCCCTCCTTCAAAAGTGCGGGCACTGTATTTTCCCATCTCCAACTAAAGTCCGGCCGCCGGTTTTCCCCTGAATCCCTTCAAAATGTTACTTTGCCACACTCCAACAGCACGTCAAGTTTTAAAAAACCATTTGCCCTCCATTCACTCCTATCAAACACGCTCAAGCAGCCTGCGGGAAAGTCCAAGCCCCTCGCACAAAAACCTTTTTTACCCCCCCCCCAACCCTTCCTACCGACCCCCACCCCGCCTTCCCTTCCACTACAGACTGATACACTCTTGAAGTCATTCTGTTTCGCTCCTTTCTCTCTACTGCCAACCATCAACAACCTTCCTCGCCCTCTGGCAACATTTTGGAATCCCGCACCTCCTCCTAACTTCCAAACTACGAATTCTCTGCTTTATATTCACCCCACACATTGCCCCAGCATGAAAACTCCACTCCTCCAGCCTTCTCCCGCTGCAACATTCATCACCCACGTTTCAAAACCCTATAAGAGGTTGGTAAAACTAACTCTATACATTCCCCCTTTGCCCCCAAAGGGAAAAAGTTCTTTGTCTCCACAGATCCTAAGTGCCCACTCACCCTTTTCCTCATCATTCTAGATTCACCCATCTTTCATAGACCCTCCGCTGACAGTCCACTCCCAAAATTTGAATACGTTCACCTCCCCCATACTCCTCCCTCCAATCTGATTTTCAATCTTTCATACCAATTTTTTTGTTATCCTCAAAACCTTACTCTTCCGTATTCCCCCTTTAATTTTTTCTTTTCACCCCTACCAAATTTCATCCACCAATCTCTGAATTTTCCTTCAAAATCCCCCAAGACACGTGTCATCACAAAGGCACTGTGACAACTCCCACGTGTGGATTTTTTACTTTTAACTCCACCCCTTTTCCCAGACCCTCGCTTTTAAATTTTCTTACAACCCCATCTATAAAAATATTAAAAAAAACCCACGGACATAAACCCCTTTCTAAGGGCCTACTTTACGGGGAAAAAAATTTTCCCTTTTTCCCCTACATACTCAAATTTTGAGCCTCACATCCTCTAAAAACCTTCCTGCTTTCAAAAACCTACCCCCTACACCATACATTGCAACACTCCCACTTTTTGCCCCCTATCCACCCTGCAAACCCCTTTTTTTCCAAACCATAAATGCCAAAAAGACCTTTAGCCTTATCAAAATATTTTTCACTTAATTTTTTAACTGAAAAACACCTGGTCCACACACCCCTA